ACCGGGGATCGAACTCACGACTGTCTGCTTGCAAGGCAGGCGCTTATGCCACTGAGCTAAATCCCCAGCCCCAATGCTTATTCTTTTATCAATTTTATTTGTAAAAAATATTCAACTAGTTTAAAAACAACTATCTGAGGTACCCTAACTTATGACTTGATACTTAAATACCTATTCCCCTAACTATTCTTGTCACATTGTGACTACTGGATATTTCATTACAGAAAGGTTTCCTCTGGATGTCCAAAATGTGAACCAAGGGGAGAAAATGTAGTGACACCTTAAGAGCACTGTCCTATTAACAATAGTGTAGGACAAAATAGATCTTCCATCTGAAGCATGTGATAAATTACAAATGGACAATTCTACTTCCTAGAAAATCTGGAAAGTCAATTTAGGAAGACCAACTAAACACTGAGGGATTTTTCATATTTCAATAGTATATAAATATAAGCCTTCTCCTATAAAGATATGGACTATTCTGAGACTTTGACCCCCCCCCCCCACAAAGAGACCTTCAGATCCAAGTCCTGAGGACAGTAACCAAACCAAGCCTCAAAAAGACAAAAGGAAAATGAGGGAGAAATATTTTAAAAAGATAACACGGACCGCAGCTGGAGATCTCAAAAAGCATACCACAGAATTTTTAGACTCTGCAAAAAAGCAATGGAAGAAATAATTTGAGATCTGAAAGAAAAAAAAAAGAAATTTAAAGTTCAGAAAAACTAATTTCTCATTTAAAAAAATCACAAACCATTTCCATTAATATGATACAGAGTTATGACGAAAAGTGAAAAGGAGAATAATGACAATGATCAAACAATACAAGTCAAAAAGTGAAGCTTACCTAATAAAGAAAACTATAACCTACTATTTGAAAATGAACTAAAAGATAGCAAGAAAATATGTACGCCTCCAAAATCTAGAACTAGCCAAGTGTAGAAATAGTCATGGCTTTAGAAAAAGAGCCTGCTTTTAACGCTCACTGTGAATTAGGAGACTAAACTAGAAGAATTGTAATTATTACTAGACATGACTGAAAATGCTGTAGCAAAATAGAAAACTGAATATTTTAAGTTAAAATGTGATGAGATCATTAAACAAGAAACTAATAGCTAGTTCTGACAAGCAAATCAAGTTGATTCAACAAAATATTGAAACCACCTATCTTGAGTATAAAAACAAAAATAACCTCTAACTTTAGGACATACCTTATATTTCAATGCAATATACAACATTTCAAAGCATTTTAAGCAAAAGTTTTCAAGTTGTCCTCTTCATTTCGCTTTCTGCTCCATTCATTGTGGCCACTCTGCCACTGTTTCTGGAATCTTGGTATTTTTCATTTTTAGAATATCCTGTAGTAATCTCTGTAGAGTTGGATTGGTGGTTGCAAATTCCCCTAGTTCCTCTTTATCCTGGAAGCACCTTGTTTTTCCATCAATTTCTAGGGACAGTTGTGCAGGATATATCAATCTTGGCTGAAGGTTATTATCTTTCAAAGCTTGAATTATTTTACCCCACACTCTTCATGATTTGATGGTTTGTGCCGAGAAGTCTGCTGTAATTCTGATGGGTATTCCCTTGTAAGTGATCTGTTTCTTGTCTTTGACGACTTTTAATATTCTGTTCTTATATTGGATTTCTGGAATTTTGATTATTATATGCCTGGGTGTAGCTCTGTTTGGGTCGTAGGTGGCTGAGGTCCTGTATGCCTCATACATCTGAGTATCTTTACCTTTTGCTAAATTAGGGAAATTCTCCTGGATTATTTCTGTGAATAGCTTTTCAAGTTCATTTGTTTGAGTCCCTACTTCTTTTATGTTCTTAATTATTAAGTTATAGATCCTCTTATCATCTTCTAGTCCTTATATTATTGCTGTTTGTTTCTTTGTTATTTTTAAGAAGTTTTTCATTTCATGCTCCCACCTTACAAATCTGTCCTCCAATTCTGATCATCTATCCTTAGTTTCTTTCAAGCTGTTATGCCAGCTTTCAATATAGTTTTTAGTTTCCTGGTAATCTCTTTGAACCTGCTTCATGTATTCTATGTTTTCTCCATCAAACAATTCTCCCCTTTTTTTCTGTTCTTCCATTCCACCATCTCTTTTTCTTAGGTGGTGTTTAGCATTTCTCTAACTATTCTACTTATTTCTTGCTTTATTTCATTAAATACTTCATTTTTGAACTCGTCTATGAGGCTCTGGGGAAACTGACAACTAATGACAGAAAAAGAGCTCAACAGAAATAAGGCAGAGAAGGTTGGATGGTAGGAACAGCCATTTTGGGGAAAACAAGACATAATAATAGGTAGTGCTGATTTAATATCCTCTTGTTTTGAAGTCCCATCAAGCTTTTGTTCTTCTGCCTCCATCGGTTTTAACATGTTGTATCTTATTGGATTTTATTATATGTGATAATATAAACAAAAACTTTTATAGACAAGGAGATTATACAGAAATCATTGTTCATTTTCTGTTAGTTGATTCTAAATACCCTGTAATACTGTCATTCTCTTGAACGGTTTTACATTGTCTTGATATGTTTGATGCTACAGTATATGAAGTTATACCCAAAGATTTTAAGGGAAGAGACACTATGGTAACTACTATTATATTGAGATTATCTTGTGGTGAAACACTATTTTGCTTAAATGGCTATGTTTTGACCTGTACTGTTTTTTTGTTATGCCCTGTTTTTGATCTCAATCTCTTTTTATTATCTACTTTTTCATTTTTATCCTTTTAATTAAGGAAAAAATAAATAAAAATAGCAGGATATATTATAGTAACCCACTTTGATTTCCTATTAACTTGATTTGAAACTCTGTATTGCTCTCACCATCTTGTTTTGACTGATTTTCCTCTATTCTGTTATGTTTGATAGTACCAAGTTTGAAAGTATAGGCAACAACTATGAAGACAGTAAGATTCATTGAGATGCTCATTCTGGTTGACTTTTATCTTCTTTTGAAGTCCTCTAATGTCTCCAATGTTTTGGTTCTATTGGTCTTATTCTTTAGTGTTTTGTTCAATTTTATTATAACTGATGATATAGGCAATTCTTTTTAAGATAACAAGAGGCATTATGGTAACCACTGTTGATCACCTTGTATTTTGTTTTTACATTATGTATTATGTCCATCTTTTTGATTTGACTGACTTTGTCCTGGTATGTCACATTTGGTTTTACTTTCTTCAAAAAAAAGCAATAAGAACTGTGGGAGTAATAAAACCCAAAATGTATAATCGTCATTTTTCAAAAGAAAGGAAAAGAAAGTTCTCTAAAAGATATAACTGCATATATATTTAAGTGTATAAGATAGATAACCATATTACTGAGTTTTGTTGGATCATTGAACAAAGCTGTTTGCAGTCTCACTGTTTGAAAGTCCCCTCTATATGCTCTAATTTTGTAACTTCAACAACTATTTCTAAGATGACAATATGTAATTAACTAGTGATTTCCTACTTTTTATTTTTTCTGAAATTCTGTATAACTTGTACCCTTTTTCTGTTTTTTTTTTTCTTTTTTCTCCTTAAATAACATTAAAAAAAAAGAAAGATAGAAAATATTTGTGTTGGAAGACACGTCTCATGGTTAGAAATAGACATAAGAAGACCAGTCACTTGGAACTTGTAGGCATGGCAATGCACAGGCATTCTATGACGTAGCTTTTCTTACCCTACCGATGCAGAAAGGAGTAGTGTTGCCTATATCTTGCTTGAAATCCTTTCTGATTTCAGCTCCCACATTCTTTTAATTTATTGATGTTTCTATCAATTCAGCAAAAATGTTTGAGCACTAAACCTATGTCAAAACAAGGAAGAGATGTAGTCTCTCCTTCAGAGACCTCATAGTGCATCTATTTATACAGACAATTACACAGCCAACAGAAATATAATTTCATAAGTGTGACAACAAAAGTATCCAATGCAGACAATTGTCCTATGCACATGCACCATTTAGTACATGCAGGTCAGTACAGGAAGACATTTCTCTTACTAACAACAGAATGTTGAATCTCATTTCAGTGAAATCCTCTACTTTCACTTTCTCAGCAAGTGCTGCCTTACTCTGTGCCTATTTTTTACTATTAAAATTATTCCTAATTAAACAACAGATTTTTGCTGTGTAATTCAGGCTGACTGGCCCAGGCTTGTCTCACACCACCTCTATCTCCCGGCCTCCTGAGGGCTAGAGTTGTGGTCAGTGGCCACCACACCCAGCTCTGTACCTCCTTTAAACCCCCATGTATGTCGGAGGTAAATTTCATTTCTGTCTCTTGAACGTTACTATTTAGCAACTCAAAATAAACTACAGAAAACGTTCATTTATTTTTTCATATGTTTGATATTCTACATGACTAATTTCATAGATTTTGAGGACATGCATACTGAAAGACTCAAAGTTTCCTTTATTTGCAAAGAACAGCTATTGTAAAGGAATTTAAAAAAATAGAGAGAAGAAAGGACAATTCGCTAATAAGAGATAACAAAGATGGATGCGTAGATATTTTAACAAAACTATCTTCAGATCCAAACTTACTCTAAACTCTTTGTTTATATTTTTTCATGGCTTATATTTCTATGGTTTTTCATTAGATAGTTCATAGCTTCTATTTTTATTATGTCCAATTACTGAGAGAATTTCAATGAGTTACTGATTTATAGCTTTAAATTTGATATTTTAAGTGTCAGAATTACTCAGTGATTGGTCTATTATTTTAGTCAATTTCAAAATTAGCATCCTAAAATGCTTTAAAATAAAACATCAAATTATAATTATGCTGTTACACACACACACACATATCTATGTATCACTATAATTCCTTTGATATGTTCTTTAAAACTAGCTTAAATATCTTGTAAAATATCATTTTGAGGATATAGAATACAAAAACTGTAAATTATCAGAGAACTGACTTTTTATTGCTGATTTTATTGTTTCATTTTTCAATGAAGCATACCTGAAATGTTTTCTAAATAAATAAAGCATACCTGAAATGTTTTCTAACTAAGAAACCACGTATCCATTTTTGAACGATCAAAACTGGTGAGTTATGAGCCAGAATTTCATTAATTCTTGAAATAATATAATGAATATTTTTAATTTCATCTTCATAGGTTTTTCCCTGTATAAAGAAAATATGTTCAATGTCTTATGTTTCATGAAAATATTTCTAAAAGGTATTATGAACTTGATAATAAAATGAAATTAATAAAATATTCATAGGTATCTTATAGGCATAATAGTTTAAAAATCAATACATTTCATAGCATTTTATGAAGAATCATTAGCCTCAAGTAATCTCAGTTCTCTACACAAAATGCAAGATTCTTAACAATGTGCATTCAAGATTCTTACACAAATCTGATAAAATATATGCAATATTTTTACTATAATTCTGATCTCTCAAAGTAGTGGCATGGACTGGTGGCCAGTGGAATTTTAAAAGCAAGCTTTGGATCACCAAAAAACAGATATTTGTTGAGTTAATAAAATAAGTTACAGTAGTTTAAAATGTTGTAGCTTTACTGAGATGTTAGATGCTTTTATTTGAACATATGCATTCCCCTGGGAAAGATATTACCTTTAAGAAAGACCTCCTTTCTTGAAAATCTTTAGATTTGAGCCAATACACACTTTATATCTCATTGATCACGTTTGGAAATGCAGTCACTATTACTTCTGTTTTCAAGGCAGAGTAATATATATTTAAAATATGACATTTATACTTACGCTATTTTAAGCATCTAATCTGAAGATTACTATCCCTGTGATGTTCAAAACATACACCTCTCTCTCCTATATTCATAATTAGCTATGTATTGTAAAACAAATCACAAAATATTGTAAAGAAAAAGTGCAGGTTTATTTTTTCAAATGTGGTATCAGAATTAATTCCTGTTTGTTCTCTGCCTGGAAGCCACAATATGTACTGAATCTGGAGTCAACATTCCAACATTCAAATCTGATCACAAGGCAGGCTTGCTTAATCCTTTTATTTGACAGCACCAGAAGATCAATTGCAAATCTCTTGACTTGGCGTAAAATGCACCTTATGATTTACTTCTTTACTACTTCCTCGGTCTCCCCTCCCTCCTCACCCTATGGAACAGCTTCCGTTCTGGAAATATCCAACCTCTGAAACCCCTGAGAAGGGCCTGATAATACACCTCAAAGTGCTCTACACACGCCATTCCACTTTTTTGAACTGCCTTCTCAATTGTCTCAATATCAGTCTTAGAAACCAAGTTCATTTCTTCAAAAAAGATTTTCCTGACATTGATCTGAGAACAATATCCATCTGCAATATTATCCTGTGCGATAACTCGTCCATCAGACTTGACAGTGCACAATTTTACCTGGTCCCTGTAATCCTGGAAAGACTTGGAAGTTAGGAAATCTCCTCAGCTCTGTTTCAGGGAAGTGGCTCACTGTAAGGTAATAATCTTCTTCCTCTTGTAGCTGATACATATAAACTCCTGTTTCCCCTATGGCAGACACAGATATACCTACTAACAACTAGCTAAAGTATTCAGTGTCCATTGTTTATTAGCATGAAACTCAGAGAACCAGAACTCCAGAGATCCGGCTATGGTGGGACTCAGGCACCTTATTCACCCACCCTTATAGTGAGCACCACAGCAAGGGCCAGGAGGAGAACCAGAACTCCCAAGATCTGGCCATGACGGGACTCAGGCAGCTTATTCATCCACCCTCTAGGTAAGCGCCTGCAGTGAGGGCCAGGAGGAAACCCAGAACTCCTGAGATCCAGCCATGGTGAGACTCAGCTTATTCACCCACGCTCTTCTAAGTGCCTGCAATGAGAGCCAGGAGAAGAACCAGTGCTCCTGTGATCTGGTCATGGTGGGACTCAGGCTGCTTATTCACCCCGCCATCTTGGTAAGCGCCTGTGGCATGGGCCTGGAAGAGAACCATTACCTGTGAGCCTACTGCCATGTGGGCTGAAAATCAAGCATCCTTCCCCCTGCCCGCCCTCCATAGCTACTGAGGATAGATGTCTCAGCATCTCTTGGGAGGATGACCATATGCAGTATAGCAAATATGGGGGATTTCCTTCTATTATCTGTTTGAAGGCAAAGGTTGTTTTCACTGTTTTGTTTTGTTATGTTTCTTTTGCTCTATTCAGTATTCTCAATTGGTTTTATAATGTTCTATTTTTGTTTTGATTTTGCTATATCTAATTGACTGGACAACTATTGTGAAGTTAAAGAGATATACCATAGTACCTATTACTACTATCCCAGTATCCTATTGTGAAATCCTATACCAATTTCACTGTATTGTCTCAATTGGCTTTGTTCTGTCTTGTGCTGTTGCATTTTTACTACTTTCAAAATAAAATTTAAAAAAAAAGAATAAAATTCCTCTAGGGCTAATCTTTGGATAAGATTTTCTGCTTCTCCTGAGCTGATCCACCTTTATCCTGAGCAAACAAGAGGCCTTATTGCCTGCGCTGACGCAGGAGAGTCACAGATTCAAGCATGCTCTGACATCCTGTCAGGCCGTGACACTTCATTTATCTCATTTTCTTACACCAACCTTTCTTTAGTCTTGTTTACTTCTTTCCAAAAGAGAAAAACCTTTTGCCTAACCTTTCAGAGCATGGCATAGTTTTAATATTAAGGTCACAGCATTCTCTCCACTACAGCAGTTACCCCCCACTTATAAGACTTTGTCAATCAGCCCTTCCCTAACATGCAATAAGCCGTTCAAATAAAGCCACTGACTTATTAAATCCTGACTTAAAAAAAAAAATCTGACCTTTCAGTCATGTTGAAATTATTGACCCCTCTTAGTCACATAATTTAAGTTTAACAAGTTATTATCCATCTAGGATGAAATTTCCTGGTTTATAACTGGTATTTGATTATCAATTCAAGATCAAATCACAAAATACAAGTACTGTGTAAATTTGGCCTCCAGCTTGACCAATGTCATTTAATCCATTACTTTAAGAAAATTTTTTTCCCATCACACTCACGTTTCTCTCTTTAATTTTGATTTTTAAGTCTTAATTTTTTTATTCTTCTAAAATATAAACACTTGAATTACTTATGTTTTTATTAACTCATTCATCCTTTTTAAAATTAATTTATTTTTCACTTATTTGTTTGAAACAGGATGTGGCTATGTAGTTAAGAGCATCCTCAAACTCACTGTGTAGCCTAAATTGGCCTTTAACCCTCAGGGATTTTCCTGTCTCAGCCTTCCAAGTACTAGGATTATATGCATGTGCCACCATGACCAGATAATTTTTTAATCTTTAGTGGCCTATTTAGGTTTTGTGGTTTTAAATCTCTGTTTACTAAATTAGGGTTTTTTAAAAATTTCTATTTGCTAACTTTCTTCAAATGATCATCTTCCTTATATCTTGCTGCTTCAGACATGCAGATTATATATACAGCTCTATTATCTGTCACAAATTAAGTTTTAAATTGCAGACTCATAGAATGAATTTTCAGTTCCATTTCTCTACTTGCATATAAAAGTTGAAATAATTCTTTCCTCAACTTACAAAAATGCATACTTCATAATATATCACTCATACACAGTAATTCATTAGGGACATGGCCTAAACCCTCAATCTCCCAAACAAGTGTAGGTCAAAGGTTTAAATAAATGAGATAAGTGGCATGATTTTAGGGCTCCAAGAGGATCAAAATGCTCTGCAGAGGTAGGGGCTTTGGTGGCTAAGACAGGGGATACCTCTGGGGAGCCTGCAGTCATTATTTTTTTTTTTCAAATAACAGGAAATTGAGCAGACCTTGGGAGTGGTTCAAGGACTTGTTAACAAATTACCTTAACAAGGAGAAGTATTTTAGGAGAAGATTGCCATGTTGCATTTCACTACAGGGGTGAAATGCCTGAGGCTACAGTCTACATTGTCAATTGGAGTTGGAGCCAGGTGTCCTCAAGCATTATTTCCTGCCCTGGCCATGCATAAGCCCTGTTCAATGTCCAGCTGCAATGGCTGACAACATTAATTAAAATTACCTTCATCCTGTCAGTTTATTAAATAAAACCATTTTCCTTTCTCACTCTTTTCTACCCAATAAATCATTTAATCAAATAATATCTTGTCAATTTGTTACCTATCATCTATATGTCCTCTGCCAACTTACTAAATCAGCCCTTTGAAGGCCCAAACTTCTAATAGACATTTTCAGAAACATCCAACCACTCTGATAAAATAAACTGAGAGGTCTGAAGACTAAGATGGGTGGGTAGGTCTAAGTTCCTATGTGAATACATCAATTTACTGTAAGCAGTAAATTGAAGCCAGATATTGTACCAATGAGAAACTACCAACTAACATCTTACCAGGAACCTTCCTTGCTAATTAATCTAAATTGTTTTCTATGTCTTGTTCCCTGCACCATTTTAAATGTTTCTCCTTTTGCCTTCTGGGAAAAGTGCTGGCTGTTTGCATCCTGGTTCCAGAATGTGCATATAAACTCTTTAAAATTTAAATGTGCTCACACTTCACTTTTACCAGTTCAATTTCTCCTCTGCTCCAAAACATCAAATACAGGATGATTTCTCTAGAATGAAAACGTGGTCAATGAGAAGCGCAAGTATTTCCCCACGATCTTACAAAGTCCTGTCTCTTGGGTTGCATCACATCTGCTATTATAATCCTGCTTTTGCTTCTAACAGCATTTGCCGTGCTTGTACTTGCACACATCTTCTATACTCTACAAACACTAAATCACTTGTGCTCACCTGAATTTCTCAGGCCCTATCAATACTCTGTGCCTTTTCTAATGCTATCCCTCTGCCTGTTGCAATAGCTCTATTTTCCTAGACTTCTTATACTCAGAAGCCCATCTAAGCTACAGACTTGTGCTTTCTTCTTTATTTTCATTCCAATAGAAAGCTGAACTTTGAAGACTTTTTAAATTCTTTCATGGATCCATCAAATCCATAATATTTTCACCATTACTTCTTGGGTTTTATAACTCCTTTATTTGCTTTAATTTTCTCTGTTGTCATTTCTATCATGTGTTTTAGATATCCTGGGTCTGGACTCTATTGTTTATTATTTTTTACTAGTATTGTCACATCAGTTTGGTAAAGTCATTCTGTCAAAAGCCAGCTCTTTCAAACTGTGTGTTCTACTTAACTTGTCAATTACTCTAGTTCTGTAGTTAAGTCTAAGGTTTATTTACTTTTCCCCTTTGGTTTGTTTGCTTGCTATTGCTTTTTTAAATTCCTATTTACTTTATCATAGATAAGTCTTTCCACATATCAGTTTAAAACTTACTATAAACTGGCCTATATTTGGAACTCTCTATGAAAGTTATTCTGTGATCTGTAGTAATTGAACCCAACTACCATTTGGACTACCATCACACTGACAGAATTTCCTCTGCTGTCTGATATTTTATCAAGTTTATTAGGGAAAATAGCTTAATTTTAGGCTGCCCTAGCTTCTGCGTTTGACTCAATAATCTTTCAGCCCATTTAAACTATATAAAAATTATTAATACATTGTGTAGTTCTAAATAAATTTATTTGACAGTTATGGAGGCTGAGAGGCCCAACATAAGTCACCAGCATATTCTGTGTCTGTCTGAAAAAGGTTCACTTCCTTCTTTATAGATGATGTTTTCCTACTGTATTCTCACAGAGCAGTGAATGAAGAGGTCTCTCTAAAACCATGAGGACTAATCCCACCTTGTTGGACTAATCACATCCCAGAGTACTTACTTCTAAGTACCATCATATCAGGAATTAAATTTCAACACAAGAGTTTTAGAGGAGGCATAAACACTCAGACCATAATGAGTCTCGTTTTTATATTAAAAAAGAAAAGAAATCATTATATTGTGCCTACCAATTAACTTTACGAAAGTCTTTTTTGTAAAACAAAGATTAACCTTTACTGATTTATAGTATAAATGTGATTTCCCAAATATGCATATATGTCTGCCTACTGTACTTGGGGTAACGGTATTTAGATTTCGCTCAGCAAAGAGGAAGTTCAATATGTAGCACACGAAAGTGCACAAGGTAGAGGGAAAAACCAGGGAAAAGAATACAGGAGGCAACATAGACTACTGAGACAGAAATTGTACTCATCAGATTCATGTCTTACAAGCAAAGAAACATTATGCTTACATTGCAGTTTATAGAAAGTCCTGCTTCCCATTGAGTTATAAATAGTTCCTTCTCTTTAAGGAGATATGCAGAATAATCATCAGTTATGGGCAGTGTTAATATCTCTTCCAGAAGAAAAATAAATAAATTCCAAGTATGCATTAACTTTCTGATATCCTAAAACAATTATTCTACAAAATTCCAATAAATGTATCCCTTCAAATTTGTACTAATGGCATAAACCATTTGGCATCTCAAAGTAAATGGAAGTTTTCTCTTTTGTTGGAAAAGTGACATATTTCCTCCACCACAGGAGTGATGGCTCTGAATAAAAACTGCATCAGTTAAATCTCAGTGCAAGCTATGTGATGTGGGATTAAATAACCCATATATTCACTTTTTTCATCATCCATATAATGGAGATAAAAATAGTTTTATTCCATTGGGTTATTGTAATGTAATATTTATAAAGCATTCAAAATAGTAGATGGAGCATATCAAACATCAAAAGAATGCTACTTACCAATATTTTTAAAGCATTGCTTAAAATAATACAGTATTTTAAGTTTTTCAAAGGATATTTACATGCTTTATCATATTTATGCTTCCTAAAGTTAACATAGAGAAACTTATAAGGCGGCAATTTATCCAAATGAAAAAAATCATGTAATATTAAAATGATAAACTAAATATAGCATGAAGTTTTTTTTCAATCCAACAAGAATTATAGCAAAAATTTGGGAAAGTACAATATACATTTAGGATCAATAATCAATAAAACAGGTGTTAAAATAATTATATGAGTACACAGCATGAAACAGTGGTTATTGCAAATCCTGGTATAAACTATAATGAGGCACTTGAAAGAAAAATTAGGAAATATTTCTGTAATGACTCATATGGAAGAGAATATTCTGCATGCTAATAGTAAGAATATTTTTTAAAAAATATTTCTACAACTAAATTATTTTCATACTATACAAAATTCTACAAAGAAACTATTAAATTCAATATGCTAATATTCAATTAAATGTACTAATTTTTCTTTTCTATTTCTACATGTTTAATTCTACATATATCTGGCCCATAACACTGTTTTTACTTCTCAGAATTTCCCAATTTGCCACAGTTTTCTCAGCAAATGGAAAAGTAGCATATACCTACAGTACAAGAGAGGACTTCTGATACATGCATGCATACATACACAAACACACACACACATACACAAATGTTTACACACCATTCACAAACACCAAGCTATATCCACAAAAGATTTGTAATATCACTGTACAAAAATACCTGAGACAGGCTAATTATGAAAGACAATGTATTTATTTAGCTCATAGTTCTGATGATTAAAGGGCAGCATCAGCTCAGTTCACAGATAGCAGACACTGAGTGAAAGCAAAATCATATACCCTTGCAAAAAATACAGAGTTGGGTGAAGCCAAGATTAAGCTTTTTGTTTGTTTGTTTGTTTCTTTTAACAATCCTCTCATGAGATCTATTTAATCCATTGTGAAGCCAGTGTTTTTAATTCTTTCAGGACCTTCAATGAAGTTTCCATCCTAAAGTGTGATGCAACACCAGCCTCCACGTTTTAATGCAGCAGGAGAGGCTCACTAACATTGGTACCATGCTTTGGAACTTCCCAGTCTTCAGAACTGTAAGAACTATGTTTTGGATGTGGTTTTGGTGTGTCCACCAAAGGTTCTTGTCCTGGGAGCCTGATCCCCAGTGTGGCAGGCTTAGGAAATGGTGGAACTCTTAAGAGGTAGAGCTTCATACAAAGTGATCAGGTCACTGGTTAATCAGGAGGGATTCACGTACCTCCTTGTAGATCCCAGACTAGCTCCTGAGAGACCAAGTTTTTATAAAAGGAATCATTGATACTTCATAGCACATCATACAATTTATTTTGTACATGCTCCTGCCATTGTAATGCCATCTACCATGAGGCATTCACCAGAAAATGAACTACCAGGAGGTAATTCTTAATTTTATTTTGTATCCAGGAATGGGATTGGATTCATTTATTAATTTTTAAGTTTTTTGGTTGAGTCTTTAGAGTTTTCTACATGTAAGATCATGTCAACAGTAAACAGTGATATTTGACGCTGGTCTGCCCAATTTATGTGTCTTTTATCTTTTCCTCTTGCTGATTGCTCTGGCCAGGACATTCACCACACTGAATAAACATGGTAAAATCAAATGGAATACTTACCTTGACCTTAGAAGGTGACCTTTGCTTTGTTTCTTTGTATTTATTAAGAAGTTAGCTGTGAGGTTTTTCTAAGTCTCCTTTACCACATTTACAAACTTTCCTTTTATCTAAACTGTTGAGCTTTGGTCAAATATGAACTACAAACTTCACTAAATGATTTTTCTGTGTTAAATGAGATGATCATGTGGTTTTATCCTTTGATAATGTGATAATGTAGTATATCACACTGATTCTCATTTATTAAAGAATCCTTGCTTACTGAGATAAAACCTGCCTGATAATCATGTATAATATTTTTATGTTATTAAATTCTACTGCCTAAAATTTTATTGAGGATTTCCTCACAAATGTCCATCTGAGGCACAAACATAAACTTTTCTTTGGTATCTTTGTCTGGTTGTCTGTGATGCCAATCTCCTAACATGTTGGTATTTTTGTCTGGTTGTCTGTGATGCCAATCTCCTAACATGTGACAAGATCTTCTTTTCGGCTCTAATTTTGAAAGAGTGTAAAAGGTATTTTCTTAACACTACTTTGAAGATTTGGTAGACTTAAGCCATGATCTTGGACTTTTCTTTATTGCAAGGTTTTCCATTACTTCTTATTGTCTTCTTATGTCACTGGTAGGTATAGGTTTTCTACTTCTTCCTGATTTAATATTTCAGGCTTTTTCATTCAGTTCTTGGTACATATCATTCCATTCTCTCCCAGGTACGTGACTTTTCTCCTGAGAAATCTACTAAAACTTTTACCAGGATTCACTTGGATCTGTTGAGTTGTTTTTCTCTGTGGCTTTCAAACTTCTCTTTATAATATCTTTGGACAATTACAATTTGTCTTGGAATATATTTAGGTTCAGTACCTTTGTGAAGATATAGGCATCATAGTCTGAATACTTGTTTTCTTACCCAGATTTCAAAAAAAATTTTTTTCCATTAATTTTCTTTTTTAAATAAAGAAAAGTATGCTATGAAGTAAGTATGCTATGAAGCTTGATAGTGTTTCCTAAGTCTTAGCAATTTATCTTTTTACTTCTTGACTAATTTCAGAGCATTTTTTTATTTTATGACTTATTTTCTCTATGTACTCAAATTGGTTATGCAAGCTCTCTCCTGAATTTTCGTATCAGTCACTAAACTATTCAGTTTTGAGGTTTCTGTTTGCTATTACTTAAGGGTTTCCATTTTCTTTAACTTCTTTTTTCATGTATTGGTTCTCTGATATATGTATCCTTTTATGTTTTTTTTGTAATTTACTGACATAACTTTTGAAATTTTTGTCAGTAAATTTATAGATCTAATTTCTTTGGATTTGGTTCCTGGAGCTGTTAGTTTCCTCTGATGTTTGACTATGTATATTTACATGATTGTGCTGTTGGTTAAAGATTTGAAGAGGCACCATGTCTTCTAGATGTGCCTTACAGCTTTCTTTGAACACTGAAAGATGTTTCATAGGTCACTCTACCCTGTAACAGTGAATGGACATTATTCTGGGTCTTATGTTTCTCAGAGTTTACAGTGGAATTTCATTATATACAAAGACCAACGGGACCTAAAGAGTCCAATGGCAGATTAAGCCAACTTGTGACCTTGATTAGGTGAGATCAAATAAATGTCATTTTGGGGTAAGATTACTGCCTAGGCCAGTGGGGCTAGCCAGTTATCTATGCTTGCTAGCCTCTAAGAGTTTCTCTCACTTTTTTTTTTGTTCTAGATGTTTCTTAATGATCTACCTATGCAAATTCCCCTAGTGTTCATGATATGAGGCAGAAATGTACCTATCACGAAATGTCTCTTAATACTAAGGACTTTGGATATAGTCCACTGGATAAATTATAGGTCAGTGGGCTCCTCCTCATTGCTCTCCTGTGCTAACTTGGGGAAAGGAATGAAAAATAATACAGAAATATGTCTCATTATATGAAAATATTTTTTCCACAGGTTTTGTACTCTATCATTGTATTTTAACCTAATCCCTTGGATTTCTAGAATTTTCTTAAAGACATTTTTCACCTAGGAATATTTGCTAAATGGATGCTTCTATGAGAAACTAAGGCTAGTATCTTTTATTTTTCTATCCAGCTGGTGTCCTAAGGATATTTTTCTCTTTTTCTTTTTTTTTTTTAGCAGCACTGGGGATCAAACTCAAGACCACGTACTTACAAGGCGGGTACTTATACCGCTGAGCTAAATCCCCAGCCCCTTGTTTTTCTCTTTGTAAAGTATTTTTAGTAATTTCAGATATATCTTAATATATATATATATATATATATATATATATATATATATATCTTAATGACTTAATTTGATAGCTAACAAATGTCGGATTTTATCAACTTCACTTTAAATGAAGCATAGAAACTTATCACCTTTAGCATCTCTTTACAATCTCTAGAATATATTTCTTCTAAATATATTTAATAACATCAGATTGTGTTGTGCTTTTCTGCGTCAACTTTTATCATAACTGTAAAGTCACAAGAGAAGGAAAATGTATTTAATATACTATATTTTGTTATTTTTTCCTGATAGGCCAGAATCATCTTATACAATTTCTTTCTTTATAGAAAACTATCTTGAGCTTTTTTTTTTTTTTTTGGATCAGATTTCTAGGGAAAAACTCTTTTAGTTTTAATTTGAAAGTATATTAATTTCTTCTTCATTAATGGAGAATATTTTTATTGCCTAGATTAGTGTTGGCAAACCTATGGCATGTGTATTATTCATTTGCTTGTTTAAAACAGAAGACATTAATGCATGAGTTGTGTTTTTCTAAATGAAGATCTCAGCAGTCAGGTTTAATTGCAGCATAAGTAGGTTTGGATTGCAGTTTAGGCACTGTTTTCTAAAAGATTCGCCATCACTGGCCTATATGCTTCTGGATTAATGGTTTTCTTTCTGAATTTAAAAATATTTTCCACTTGATTCTATCCTTTACAGTTTCTGATGAGAAACTTTGTCCATTGAAAGGTAAAGAAGCTATTATCCACACAAAAAAGGAAGCGAGCAGTAATCAGATACAGTCTCCCCAGTCATACTCTGTGATCTCTCTTGAACTAGACCACATGTTCTATTTCCAGCATCTCCCAATAATGTCATTGAATTGTGATGTCATCAATGAGTTAATGTACTTGATGAAATTGTAACCATCATAATCCAGTCACTTTCCCAAGCAACCAACTGGTAACCAAGCCTTACCATAGGAGTCTTAGGGAGGGAGTATTTCAAATACAAACTATAAGCCACGCATGGTAGCACATGCCTGTAACCCTAGCACTTAGGAGGTTGAGGCAGGAGGAACATGGTGAGTTCAAAGCCAGCCTAGGCTACATAATGAATTCAAGGTCAGTCTGAAACCCTGTCTCAAACAAATAAACAACTATAACACTCATTTAATAATTTGAATTCTGAATTCTACATTGTGACTAATGTCATTCCCTTTGCTTCACTCTACTCAATATATATTTGCTTAGTACTTTACATTTATTTGTATGCATTAATTTTGTTGCTGGAATCAATCTTGTTAATAACTATGTTCATCTCATATTCTACATTTTTATAATGAATTTATAATCTAAAACTTTATAATTCAAGTTATAAATCAATAAATTTAAATGTAGCTTTTATAAACACAGCATTATTTTTAAATTGTTTCTAATTTTATGTGTTTTTCCTAGAGATTGTATTCTATTTTTTATCTCCTCTAGTTTTGGGAAGAATAAACATCATCAGAATGGCACTGGAAGCAAAGCTACTAACTTCATGGAGATTGTGAAGCAGGCAACAAGAAAGAGTGCCAGTGAGAACAGAGCCCAGAGCCAGACTCCAGACCCACCTTCTCCACCTAAGCTCCACCTCCCAGCAGCACCTTTACTATGAGTGGGAGGAGGAGATCACTGCTGAGCATTACAGCACTGCCATGATCCGAGCAGAGCTTCAAGAGTCTCTTAACACAATCAAATTGAAATTAAGATTAACTGACAAAGTGTATTACTCTATTCAGCCAACTAGGAATTCACAATAAATATTTCTGGTACATTATGGATATATTAAGCATTTTAAGTTTTTGATATTTACATGGAAAATGAAGGCAAATGGACGTCAAATGCTTGAACTTGAAATCTCTACCTTAAACTGCCATTGCGCCACTACAATACCAATCTGTTTCATTATATGACAAAGTGTTCCCTGCCATCCCAGAGTCTATATTTTTTTTTTTTTTTTAATTTTGCAGGCCTAGTGGTTTGAACTCAGGGATGCTCTGTCACTGAGTTACATTTCAGTCCTATATTCATTTATTACTTACTTTAGGGTCTTGCCAAATTGTCCAGGCTTATTTAAAACTTGTGATGCATCTACTCTGATTGTACATAATGGTACATTACGTACACATTGTACATAATGATAATCATGGAAGCCAGTTACCACAATGGAAGTGCATCAGGTAAGGCACTGGTAGAGGCTATTATTTTTCTAATACAAAGTTGACAGGCTTAGCCAACTTGTAGTTTCCAATCTGACCAATCCTTTAGCTGTACTCAAGTAATACTGTCCAGGTGCAAAAAATTAAAGGTGTATTTATTTACTTATTCTTGTCCTCACACATTCAATCAAAAATACTCCATCAATTTTAAATGGGAAGGGAATCAAGAGATGGGCAAAGAGCATGAAAAAAGAATTGAGACTTGCTATGCACATGGACCAACTCCTCACAAAGAATGTACTATTTCTGTACTATGGACATGTATTAATAAAACTAGTGAAAAAAACTCGTCAGATCTCTATACTGTCATCTGTGATGCAATGTAGACTGAAGGACTAGGCAAGACAGATAAATGGAAATCCCATGTTCATAACATTGGATGCTTCATGTTCTTTCGTGAAATAAAAGACACACCCTTCCAGATCACAGGAAATCATGAACAATAAATATTTTTCAGAAAACCCTTTTCCATTTACCTGAGCTAAAAGAGCCTGCATCTTCACCTCTTTTATTCTGTGTAGATCTCTTCTTTTCTTTTTTAAGTAACATTTTTCAACATCCCATGTCATTTTGTGTGTGTTTTATTTCAGCTTATATAATGATTTCCCATTATTTTCACATAACTATCCATCTTATGCAAAATTACTCCTCAGGGTTCGTATACCCTTTCAACTGTATCACTGTTCAAAATAATCTTCTATTCTTCAGTAGTTTATATATATACAGCCTTGTTACAAATGATGACATTTTGGTTGATGTGCACAGACATGGTGTTAACACAAGATTTTACCATCTAGCAATGGGTTCTTATCTTTGGGCAAGTACAGTGCATGGTGTTTAGAGAAAGATATCTAACACTGCATTTCTGAAAACATATTCAAAGACGGATAAACAGATCACATCGAAAACCCTGTCCTATCACATTCTTCATTACTTACTATATCTTATACCTGACATTGCACTAACAATTGCAGAGTTATCCTCTATGAAAATTTATATAATTTAAGGTTAGCATTCAGAAGCTAAAACTTTACTTTTCTAAATTTGTTTAAAATGCATTAAGTAAAGCCAATTACCTTTTTTAAAGCAGGACAAAAGTTAAAGAAAAATCGGTCACTACATGCTTTAAATCTTTCAGGAAGATGCCAGTTCTGAATTATTTCTTCATCAGAAATCACGTGATGATCCAGTGCTTTGAGAGTCCATATACTGTTAACGAGAACATGTCTGTATCCCTTTTTAAGGCTTACTGGACAGTCAAACATAGTGAGCGCAATGAGTGTTGGACAGGCAGATAATGCACATAAATTCTTCAGCTTTACAAATCCATTGTCATGAAGATAAAGTAGTTTTAGATTTTTTAATCCACTCCAAAAATAGGTATCTGGTAAATTCTTTATCTGAAATATTATTAAAATTATTTTAGTTCACCAGTATTATTTTTCTACAAATTACATGTAAATATAAAGTGTCAAGCATTAAATATGTAAAATTTGATTTCTTCCAAATGGCAAGACTTTATTATTGAAAAGAATTCTTTCAATTATCTAAACGATCACGACAAAACAACATAATACATTGGGCATTTGGAATCAGCTATCACATACTTGTGATTAAAGTGTGTGTGTATATATATATATATATATATATATATATAATCTAGTTCAATTTCCTTGGAAACAGGCTGACTCTTCAAATCTCTCTAATATATTCCTGAAATGAACAATGCATCAAGAAATATTTTTATGCAGCCTGTAGATTTAAGAAGTAAAATCTACTCAATCATGCACTGTTCATATTTTTTGTTCATACATTTTTATTTAAAATTTGTGTTTGCATTTTTTAATTTCAAGTCTAAATACACAGTGCTCTTAAATTTATTTTAAAATTTTTGTTTATAATTTAAGTAAAACACTACCTGGATAATATTGTGGATAGATAACATAATTGTTTATCATAATAGACTTTATTTAGATTCAGGTATTTTAAATGACTATTGCTTACCTGATTTCCATGGAGATCAAGTTTGATTAACTTTATACAATTTTGAAGTGGATGTATATCTGTAATAAAATTGTTTGAGAAAATGCATACTTTAAGAGAGATGCAAGATTGTAAATTTTCCATAGATTTTAAGTGAAGGCCATTGAACTTTATAAAAACAAAATCTTTCTGATCTTCGATTATATTTTCATTATAGTGGCTCCATTCTTCATGACTGATTAGTTCTTCTACGATTGTTCCATGAAACATCTAGAATCAATGGATATTTGCTTAAAATGTTTTCAGTCTTTAAACATCTACTTGAAATCCATATCCTTCCATATAAGAAAACAAACAACAAAAAGACAAAAAAACCCATACAACATATCTAATAAAATCATTCTGCTTTAAGTACTGATAAATGAAAAAATATACATCAAACAATTAACAAGAAGTCAGGGGACTGATAATCTTTAGGGATACAGTGAAAAAACACAGCTAGATAAAATTAAATTAGAACATAGATTTTCAAATGTTATCAACAATACTTATTCCCTAAAGGGACAATTTGCCATCATATTATGTATTTCTATATTGAATTCTATTAAGCAACTAGAATTCAGAATTCTAAAAGAATTAGAATATGACTAAATTTATCTATAACTTTTTGCTCAATGGTTTATTATATAATCTTATATGATACCACTCATATATATATGGTTTTGACCTAATTATATATGGGTAATTTCAGCTGTCATAAAAGGAAATCAGTAATGATAGCTTAGAAGAGAATATATAGCCTGAAGTGGTCTATTTAACATCTCCTGGAATGACTAATTACCTCCCCCATTAGAAGAATAAATTTCTACCATGTACAGGTAAACTATATCAATGTAATTCAAATGAAAATAAATGAGAACATATAAACTCATATCAAGATAACAACTCATGAATCAATATTAGTACATTATTAACTAGCATAGTTCAATTTTATAATAGTGTCCACTCTTTTCTGTAGCATTTTACTAGTGTATAAGGGCATGTCTCTATTATTAATGTATCATACAGAATCAAAAAGAAAATTTGTAAGAATTAAAAGAATATTAAATCTATATGTAGGATAATCATGATATTATGTAGTTCACTATCTTTGGTTTCCATTTTGTACAGTGTCTACTTATTAGCTTTAAAAACTATGTCTCAGGAAAAAAAATGTAGGAATTAAATACTACATTAATTAAGGAGACCTGGATTTCATGACTTCAGAAATTCTTTTAAAAAGATTTAAAATTCTTTTAAAACCTTTAAGTTTCCTAATTTTTAAAGGTGTTTTGAAGGTCCAAAACTTGGATTTACATAACAAACCAAGAGAAAAGAAATAATAAACCTAAAGTTAAAAGCTCATATTTTCCTCTGATTTATATATATCTAGTAGCAAATAGATTTAATGATATTTATCAACTACTTAATCTAATAGCAGAAAATACATGCTACTCAGGTTTACACAGAAAATGCATTCACCAAGACAGACACATATAGGTCATATAATTTAAACTTAAAAGAGTAAGAACCCTACAGTACCTTTTCAAATCACATTATATCAATCATAACTATAAAATAAAAAGCATATGACTTCTAAGTCTCATTTTTACCCCCAATTTTCTAAAAAAAGTGGTAACAAACATAAGAAATGAAAAATATATGAGACTAATTGACAAATATCTAAAATAAATACCCAGAAATGAAAAATGTCTGTGTATTCATTACCTTTCAAATAACATATAATTAATATTGAGAAGAAATTTTTAAATAAATGTTTTACAGACTGCATTAGTTATAGACTTAACTGCTCATTCTCTGTAATTTTTATGTGCCAGGAACATAGATATGTTTTTAAAAATACATTATGTTCTTTGATGATATATTTGTAATATATTTTATAAAAACTACTCATTTTTAAACTAGTAAACTTCTGCATATTTTATACCAGAATTATCAAAGCAGCTGCTAATATTTGCATGTGAAATGAAATCATGAAAAAATAAAGTTATGAATTTAGATTATTACAACATATATAATTCCATGTATATTAACAAAATAATATTATTGTAAAAAATATTTTTGACAAGGGCTGGGGATTTAGCTCAGTGGCATAAGCAGCCTGCCTTGCAAGCAGGTGGTTGTGAATTCAATCCCCGGTACCGATAAAAAAAAAAAAAAAGATATTTTTGACAACAGATGCATTAAACCAACTTTGTTTTGATAAGTTAACATAACTGTATATCACAGACAAAATTTGGGGGTTAGTGGATGAATATAGTTTTAGAAAGCTAGAAGTTTTTGAAAATCTTTGGCAAGTGGGGAGTAGACTACACCACTGAGAGAGGAGAAAGGAAAGAGGGAAAGTGAACTTAAAAAGAACAAAATGTGCCATGTCATGTCCCAACTACCCAGGATGAACATATTACAAACTTTTATAGCACTAATAAAATAAAATAAAATAAAAACTTAAGGTTACCAATTCTCAAAAATTTTTAAAGGAAAACAACTAAATTAATTACATGATAAAGAAAACAGGCATGGTAAAGAAAACAAATATTAAAACATTTTTATTTAATTCATTAGAAAACTCTAAACAAGGTTAATTTTTAGTTGATAGGATGTGCTAAATTCTGCTATCTCAGAATGCATGATTCTCTTTTTTGTTATAAACCGCTTGGAGACCAAGAAATCATAAATAAGGTTAATATACAAACCTGACATTGGGTTAGGTTTGTATCAACTCCAGCGCTTGAAAACTAATGTAAATAAGATTAATTGTAAATTTTGTAAGTCTATTGGGATGTCCATGTCAAGAGGCAAACTGATCAATTTGGAATTTCTCAACCCTGCAAGGTACAGGGAAAAATGCTTGCCCTGGAAGATTCCATTTCTAACAAGACATATACCTTGTGTTGTATACCTGACAGTAAAATTTGCTTACTATGCTTTTTAACCTGCACAATCTAATAATAATGTTTGTTGTATATCAGATTTATGCAGACTAAATAGGCTTACTAATTAGCTGAACTGATACATTTTACTCTTGTAAAATAATACTCTGGCAGACACCTAGTAGTCTCTGGCAACATGCTCTGCTAAAATATTACTCTTGAAACTTAAAAGTGTTTAAACAATAATATCACAGCTTTATGATATGAAACTAAATTTTAAATTCTTAATTTCCTATAATATCCTCCTATAATAAATGATGGGGATATTTAACTCATCAGAGTTCAGTATTTTAAAATAATTGTTACACAAAAATTAAAGAAAATTTGAAGAAAAAAAGGAAGACAAAATAAGAACCATAGCTGAAGTGGTAGAAGTATTTACTTTCCCCATGAGCAATATTGGCATAAAATAACACATATTTCTGCAGCTACCCTTCTGAGATCCAACAAGTGCTCTATTAAATACATAATTCAGTCCAGTATTTTAATTGAATTGTTCTTTTCACTACTTATTTTTATTAACTTTTTCTCATTTTTCACTTCACCTTAGAATATACAATTCCCGAAGTGTTACTATTGACCTGTATTCCACCTGAATCATTCCATAGTTGAAATCTGATTCCACATACATGCTGACAACTCACAAAATTATCAGATTCTTTTGATAAATTACACTCATGTATAATACAGTCACATACACACACATTTTATTACATATGCACACGTGTTCATTCTATGTGTCTAAAACCTAATCACAGCCTGTCCTTACCACCCCAAGGATCTTACCCATCTTTAGCATTCATCACCTCAGTTGATGGCCACTCCATCCTTAGGCAGTCATCTTTGACTTGTCTTTATCATTCACCATCTACCTATTTTGCCTTTACAATAACCTGAATCTGACTAATTTTCCACCAGCCCCACTGTTAGCATCAGGCCTAAGCCTTCACCACACCATGCCTCATGGTATTACAGCAACAGCCTCCCCCGCCTCCCTCCCCTCTCTTTGTTCCTCTCCTTTCTCCACTCCCACTACAGTCTATTTTGTTTCTGAGTGGTCATTTAAAAATAAGGCAAGTCATATCAAAACCCTAGAATGGCTTTGTTACATTCAAAAGTAAAATCTCAAATGCCATCTATATTCTTTTGTTATTTCTCTGGACTTCTATCCTCTAACATTCTCTTCTACCCAGTCTTCCCTCACTCAAATTTTCTAAATGTTCTTCAATGAGAATGAATTGTTTTTATTTACAAAAAGTTTAAATGATAAAACTCTGAAAGAGCAATTTGTCTTTTTATACAGTGCTTTCACTGTAAGGTAATAGAACACCAAGGTAAAGCTTTTACTTTTAGGAAAGCTAAAGAAAATCCACTGGACTTTGACTACGTAGGAACGTAGTCAAATCTAATAAAGATTTCAGTGAAGTGGTTTTGCAAATGAATCAAACTGTATAGGGTAGCAGACTTAGTTCTGAAGTTGGAATTGAATACTGTATAAATCTGTTTCTAATTGTGATATCTCGAAAAGCACACTTTGACTCAGTTTTCTGATGTGTAAAGTTGGAGATTAACCTGTATAACTCATTATTAACTTTTGTTCTAACAAAACAAATGTCCATAGACAACTAACAAAAATGCATGAAATAATGTTTTTAACCAAGAGTATCTGAGTGTTCTAAATGAGTCTACGCATATTGACAAAGCCAGAGAAGCTACCAAACACCTGGCTGGTGACTGAATTCTATAGGACTTCACTGACAGTCTCTGGTGGTTGGTATGTGCACCTATGGATTAAACTCCAAACAGAGGGGTTCCATCTCTAGTGAGCTGCAGGCACAAAGATGCCACAAAGCTACACTTCATGAAAAGAACACAAAGCTTAAATACTCAGAGTGGGTATCTGGATTCTGGGTGCGGGGCAGATAACTACAGATGACCCAGGGTTAGAAAGGAGCAGACTCTGCTGAGGACGCATCACCTTGGAGGAAAAGAGAGGAACTCAAGTTATGGTTTCTTCTTCTGTTTGGTGGGTCGTTTCCAACAACGGTGTCTCCCAACCTGAACCACTCACCGAGTCAACCGGGCTGCAAGGTCTTCACAGCTGGAAAAGCGTGGCCCAGACCCAGTACTGTCCCGCAAATTGCTAGGCATCGGCTTCCTAGACCGTTGCCAGGGTAACACGCAAGGATGAAGCCGACTACGTGAGGCTTTCCCGAAAGCGCCAGCAGTCGGGGGCGTGGTTACGTGAGGGACGCAAAAGGGGCGGGGCAGAGTTGGCTGAGTTTGGCTCCCGCGCAAGCGTATTATGCGACGCGGCCTTAGGAAGCAGGGACTATGGCGGCCGCTAGGGTCCGGTTTAATGAGTCTTTGCGTGAAGCTACCCAAAGAAAATTGCAGAAGTTTTCAGAACTCAGAGGTACCAAAAAAGCGATCCGGCACTCCTGGCGGCATCGAGGGAGGGTGCCCTAAGGTCTGAGGTTGTCCCACGGTCACTTTCTCTTTCCGTCTCCTGAAGAACTAGGACACTGACTCAAGAATAGCTAGCATTTTCCTTTTCAGTTTTTATGTTGTCATTGCCCCTGCTTCACACTGGGCTTGTTGTCTAATAAAGGAGAGGAAAGGGCAAGAAAATATCTTATCTCTCTCCTGAAGCTATATGAATACCTTGGCTGGCTCATAGAAGTTATTTTAAATACATCTAAAAGGTCTGAAATATAGTATTTAGACCCTTAAAAGTGCATCTGGTTGTCCCCTTCCGTTCTCCTCCCTCCCTACCTCACCAGTTTGTTCTCTAATAATGTAAACACCAAGGGGAGAGGGAACAAAAGAATTTATGGTTTAAGAATTTGCTCAGTGTTTAAAAGAAAACATACTGTGCCACTTGGCATTCCCTGAACAATGTAAAATTTGTTCTATTTTTTTTATGTTAGTGACTGCTTGAAAAGTTAAAGATTAACATATCAATGACGGTAAAATGTTCAGAACTGTTGGATTGTAGCTGACAAGTCTCATTTGTGAATTTAAAAAAACCCTTTTTCATCTTGTTTAACGGTGAAGAAGAGATCCTGGCTGTTTATTGAAATTGCTATCTTTTAATGAGTTCATCAGGGATTTTTGACCTTTTCTGCTATTCAGAATTTTGTGTCATATTCTTATAACCTAGATAAGCTTACACAACTCTTGCTAAGGTAATAAAAAGTAAGTACTCACCTAAACAAGTAGCATTAAAGGGATGAGTCCTTGTGTTGGATCTTTCTTAGCCAAGGATCAAGTAGGGTAGACATGAAAACATTTTTAAACTGGATTTACAGTTATTCGTTTCTTTGTATCTTCTTGTTACTTAAGAGTTTCAATGATAGTCTTTGGCAAGTTAAAAGAACCTCGCTTAATCAAGAAACATTACATTAAATCTTTCAGAATTTCTAAATAAATGAGATTTTAGACCACTAAATGAAGGAAACATCTACAAGAGGAGGAAAAAATAATTCATAAGCAATTCTCAGAACTATTTTGAATACTAGTAGGCCAACAAGAATTCTATAATTTTCAAAAGTAGAAGATACATTTTTGAAAATGGTAATAAATGTTACTTTTCCCCTTTATTTGAAATAAGCAAACCCATAATAGATAATTATGATCATAGTTGTTACCATTTTCATGCTTTTTCCAAACAGGCAAACCTGTGGGAACTGGAGAATTCTGGGATGTAGTTGTACTAACAGCTGCTGATGAAAAACAGGAACTTGCTTATCAGCAGCAGCTGTCAGAAAAGCTGAAGAGAAAGGAATTACCACTTGGAGTTCAATATCATGTTTTCGTCGATCCTGCTGGATCCAAAATTGGTATGCATTTTATGGACAGGTTTATACATAGATACTAGGAAGACTAATCATTGAAAAACAGCTTTTCCGTAGTTTACAGTTTATAGGCTGCCTCTCCCCCCCCCCACCATGGCCTTTTAAAAACATTAAAATATAACTGTAAATTGACTCTGAAATGTGACGAGTATAGCAGCTGTTCTTTCTTATTGTGACTTAACAGAGAAAAACTTCCAGAATGTTACTGAAAAGAGAATGTTAATACTTTTAATAAAATTTGCTCAGATTGTGACTATTCCTTTGACTCTTATTAGTTGAGTTATTAAAGTCCCTCTGAAATCCAACCCCACAGTTTCTTTAGAAATTTACATAAACCAAATTGGATGTGTATATGATTTCTGCAAAAATTTACACGAAGCAAGTAAATATTTATGTTGGTATACATGTATATACACACATGTACTTGTTGATATACTTGCTTCACATGTTTGTATGGTCTATCTTGGAACACCACAATGTGGGATGAAAAAAACAGGGTGTAATGGCATATAGCACTTACAGAATACTTGAAAACCTTGCTTGATATCAGCTTTGTCATTTGACCTCCCATTGCAAAGTTTTTTCCTGAAGGTTGCTTTCCATGGGATACTTAAAGCTGAAGCCCCTTGGTACCATGAATGGCATTTCTGTATCTGACATTAGTATTTTCTCATTAAACAGTGTTGTTTAAATCCTCACAGTGTGGAGGTCCATACTTTTATTGTGCCTTTTATATAAATGGAATCTAACATACAGAAAGTTAAATAGTTCGTCTATAATATTAGTAATAAATAGTGAGTTAGTGGTATATAAGTTATCTTGTTTTGGGAACCAAGTTGTAAAAAATTGTTTTAAAATGAAAGGCTAAGTTATATATTAATTGTGTCATATGGAAGAATTATTTAAATTGGTTTTATGATTTATAATTGCCTATGTATGTTTATACTTAATAGTCTTTCTATGTTACAGATCATTTATCTTTCTTTTTATATTACAATTTTAGGAAGAATTTTATCTAATGATTTATTACTGAAGACTGTTCTCTTAGTTTTTATAATAATTACTGATTTGGTTTTTCTACTGTGAGATAAATTAATTTTTTAAACTTGTAGCAGATGTTTGTGAAATTATGCTTTTTCAATTATTTTTAAGGAAATGGAGGATCAACACTTTGTGCTCTTCGATGTTTGGAAAAGCTATATGAAGATAAATGGAATTCTTTTACTATACTATTAATTCACTCTGGTAAAGTTATATTTTATTAATTTATATTTTCTTTTGTGTAGTCCATCTATGATACTTTAGGGACGTTTTGGACATGCAAATAACTTTTTTCTACTTTGGTTATTTATTTGTATTCTTTGAAATTATTTTCTTTTAAGACAATTATTTTATGTTTTTCTTGGTGTTTGTGGGTTCCAAGTAATAAAATGTTTCTCAAAAAGTTTATCCTTAAAATTCTAGTTCTGAGACATCATCAATTTTTTGTGGATATTGTTTTATCTTTGTTACATGTGTGTGTCTTGCATTTTTGTCTAATTTTTGATTTTCAAAGATTACAGTCTTTAGCAGAGTGGTAAACAGGATGTAAAGAAAAACACAAATATGCAAAAAAGGGCATTTTAAAGCAAAAGACATGGAAAGCAATAATCTTAGTATAAAATAGTTTTTACTCATTTTTTAATGTTCTTATTCAAATAGCCTCCACTGTTCTATAATCAAAAATACTTCCTTTTCAAGTTAATTTTGATATGTTTTTGACATGCATAATGATTTCATTCATCATAGAGAATCTGTACTTGCATATAATATATGTTAATTCTTTTTTTTCTTCATTATTTTCCCTTCCCTTCAATCCCTGTCCTCTCCATTTACAGAACTTTTGTTTCTGTTGTTTTTCTTTTGTTCTTTTTTATTTTAATCTCTATTCCCTAGTGTTTAAGTTTATGAAAACTTTGGTTGCATAAAGTCTGTATTATCTCTCTGTATGCTAGAAGACTGATAAAGACTTTGCATGGACTGACACCAGTCTAGGAACACATAAGTTTTTTGTACCAGGAAGCAAACTCAGGACCTTGCACTTGCCAGGCCTGTACTGTCTTGTTGAGCTCTTTCTTATCCTGGGAACACATGCTTTACCACCACTCAACTACATACTTCCAAAGCCGTTTCTGATTCTTACGATTCATGTATGTAATCATGACTTTATGAAAATGATGTGAATGTAATGCATTTAAATTCTAGTTTCAAGACTAAAACTATAAAACAATTGTTTATAATTTTGTTTCTAAAAAGCTATGATAAATAATTTATTAAAAATTTTCATAAGACACCAAACACACATAGTTAAAGGAATACTGGGTCCTTTGTATCTACGGTTTCCACAGTTTCAGACTTACCCAACCACAGATGGCAAATATTTAAGGGGAAAGATATGGCTGGATCTCTACTAAACATGTCACTGTTCCCTAAGCAATATAATTGTTATATATACATGTTAATTAGATATTACAGGTAATCTAGATATGACTTAAAGGTATAAAAGGACAGATGTAGTTTACATGTGTGTACTCTGTCATTTTATATAAGGAACTTGAGTACACACCTATTTTGCTCTTCGCCTAGTGTCCTGAATCAGTGTGGATATTGAAAGGCAGCTATGATTAATTCTTTGAAAGTTCAAATTTACGATTGGGTTAGTCTTTGGAAAAGGGAAAAATAGAAAGTTATTGTTAACTTTGATTTGTTCATCAATACACTATGTGCCAAGTATTTGATATGTTATTGATTTCCTAAAACGTAACATTGCAAGCATTGTTCTTCCTTGCTGACGTGAAGTACATGGCTAAAAACTGGTGGACTGTATTGGAACTCATTTTTATCTGGCTTTGTATTCTGATAGGCTGCCTCTCATGATATTTACACAAAAATGATACAGCGTACTTAATGTTCTCATGAGAACACTTTTCAAAAAATTAATTTATGCTCCTCTGAGAAACATCTGTCTAAATGAGAAACAAGTATAAAATGTGTAAATGTTACTTAATAAATCACCTTTATTTTCTTTAGGTGTTTACAATAATTTAGAAAAAAGATATTTACATCTAGAAATAAGTATTTAATAGAGACATGTTATTATATATAACTATATAAAAATTTTGGAGGTATATTTTAGAATCACTATACTTTATTAATTTTTGTAACTTTTCCTATGAAGTAGATACTTAATGTATGAGTTTAAACTTCCTTGAAATTTAAAGTTTAAAATGTAGATATACAGACTTTTTACTGATCCAGAACAATACATAGCCTCTGTAGTATATTCAAATTTTTTCCTAACCTAGAATTTTTAAAACTACACCTTGAGACCATAATCTTAAGTGAAACAAATCAGACACACAAACTTAAATACTGCAAATAGTACTGTTATATGAGAAGCCCAAATTATAAATAAAGAGCAAAATAAAAGATAATGGAATGTAGGGAGATCTTTGGAAGGGGGTTCAGGAGATGAAGAGGAGAGAAAGAGGATGTGTTAATGTACCAACCCTACACAAGAAATCCAAATATTATGTACTGAAAATTATATGCTAGTAAAAGACAAAACAATAATAAAAGGAGATTGATACTAATTTTCTTTATTAAGACAGTTGGGAAGAAATGAAACTTGCATTATGTCAAATAGCTACAAAATGCTCTTTGAATTTCTAATCTGGATTACTGTGGGTTTTTTTTTTTTCCTGAATTATAGTATATATTAAATACATGTGGAGATAGTTTGAATTATAACTGATGCCTCTGGATTTTGAAAGTGTTACCAACAGCAACAACTTTTTAAAGGGTGTTTTGTTTTCTTTTATGCTTTTATAGGTGGCTACAGTCAACGCCTTCCAAATGCAAGTGTTCTGGGGAAAATTTTTACTGCTTTACCATTTGGTAACCCCATTTATCAGATGCTGGAATTAAAACTAGCCATGTACATTGATTTCCCATCACATATGAACCCTGGGATTGTGGTTACCTGTGCAGATGATATCGAACTGTATAGTATTGGAGAATTTGAGTATATTAGATTTGACAAACCTGGCTTCACTGCATTAGCTCATCCTTCCAGTTTGACTGTAGGTACCATGCATGGAGTATTCGTCCTAGATGCTTTTAATGATTTAAAACACAGAGATCTTGAATATAGGTGTTGCTACCGTTTCCTTCATAAGCCCAGCATAGAAAAGATGCATCAACTTAATGCTGTGTGTAGACCTGGAAATTTTTGTGACCAAGACTTTGCAAGGGGAGATGCTGCCTATCTTCACTTAGACTCTGAATATGTCTACACTGATAGCCTATTTTACATGGATCATAACTCTGCAAAAAAGTTACTTGCTTTTTATGAAGAAGTGGACTCACTGAACTGTGAAATAGATGCCTATGGTGACTTTCTGCAGGCACTGGGACCTGGAGCAACCATGGAGTACACCAAAAATGTATCAAATGTCACTAAAGAAGAATCTGAGTTGCTAGATGTAAAACAGAAAATATTTCATCTTCTTAAAGGAACATCTCTAAATGTTGTTGTTCTTAATAACTCCAAGTTTTATCACATTGGAACAACTGAAGAGTATTTGTTCCATTTAACTTCAGATAGCAGTTTAAAGTTAGAGCTTGGTTTACAGTCAGTAGCGTTTAGCATCCTTTCGTATATTCCAGAACATTCCAGCAAGACATCCTGTATCATTCACAGTGTACTGGATGCAGGGTGTTCTGTGGCACCTGGCTCAGTTGTAGAGTATTCCAGATTGGGGCCAGGAGTTTCAATTGGAGAAAACTGCATCATTAGCAGTTCTTCCATTGTTTCCGATGCTGTTGTACCTGCGCACTGTTTTCTGTGTTCCTTAAGCTTGAAGGTAAATGGACATTTGAAATATTCAGCTATGGCATTTGGAGTGCAGGACAGCTTGAAAAACAATGTTAAGACATTGTTAGATATAAAGTTCCTTCAATTCTTTGGAGTCAGTTTTCTGTCATGCCTAGAGATTTGGAATCTGAAAGTTACAGAGGAGCTGTTTTCAGGAAGCAAGACACAATTCAGTTTATGGACTGCTCGCATTTATCCAGTTTGTTCTTCTATGAGTGAATCAGTTACAACATCTCTGAAGATGGTAAATGCTGTAAAGAACAATTCTTCCTTTAATCTGAGTAGCTATCAGCTAGTATCCATTGAAGAAATGCTCATCTACAAAGATGTAGAAGACATGATAGCATATAGAGAGAAGATTTTTCAAGAAATTAGTTTAATTAAAAATAAACTTCACTTAGAGATATCTTAAATATTGTATATGTTGAAGATATCTTAAATTTTACGTATATTGAAGACACAGTACATATTATATACTTAGTGTGCTTACAAGATTCCAAAAACAGCATTTTCTTTTTATTTCAGTAAATTGACTTAATATAATTACTGCAGCATAATATTAATAATAAAAATACAAATAAAGAGTCTCAATGGAAGACTGTTTCAAGACAAAGTTCAGAAAAGGGATACACCTTGCTAATAAGGATAAATTTGTGGAGTATTGATCATTTAATATTTGATTAATTTTCTAAATGTCTTATTTTTACATACTGGTAAAAGTGGAATATCTCAGGGTTGTCCAAATATTTCAGGAATACTACAGGAATACTTTTTCAGGAACAAATCCATAGTTAACAAAACAGATTAAACTAATGCCCAGTTTATTTTTATTTTCATAGCTTAGTAGATACAAAGAGCTCTAAACTTGGTAAATATTTGCCTCTTCTTTACTGATGTTATCAAAATGAAGCAAAGTACATATGTATTTTATCTGTAGATTTTAATATGTTCATGTATTACCAATTTTCTCTAATGCTCCATTTCACAGTACAAGATGTGTATGCGTTTCTGTGTGTAAATAAAATCAGTTATCAGCATAATTAATATTAATCTTGTAATTTCACAATGGACATTACTTTTATCCTTTCTTACTAATCCTTTCAACAGAATAAAGTTACCAGATGTATGGATTTTAATTTCCGTTTCTTATTTTCTGTCCATATGCGAATTGTGATGAGAAATAATGTCCAAAAGGTAGACAGCAGGAAGAAGAGAAAAGAATAGAAAAACTAAGATAATCCATGACAGACTATTTCAAGGTAATAAAAACTATAATCTCACACTATGTGTTCCTAAATTGGTATGAATATATAAGTGAAATGTCTTCAGATCAAAGTCTAACAATCAGACAATTTGACAGAGTTTTGTATTTTAAATAAACAAATTGGAGTCAGGGTTGGTCTTTGCCATTTTTATTTATATATTTGTATCAGTATAAAATAATTGGTAAACTAAGTGACTTGCCTGAAATTCTCAATTATTTATAGGTTTTATATTTTTTTCAATGTTTTTGAAAGAATAAAATAACTTTCAGAACTTTCCCAGGATGTTTGTTGCTCATTAAATATTCAAAAATAATTCTACCTAAAGTATTATTAGTTATAAAAATCATTAGTTTGTACTCTATAAGAAAAAAGATACCACCCATAATGTATGACAATGCTTTCTTGTTATTTGAAAGTTATATTTATTGGATATACCTTTTAGATACATTTATCCATAGATTTATATCATTCAACTTTTGGTATACACACAAAAGAACAAAAAAAATAAATTGTGGAGGTATTGCAAAGACATATCTGCATTTTTATATGCAGATTCAGGTTCTTCTGAACCACTGTCAACTCAGAAAATGCTACCTATCAGTCCACTCAGTACTGTCTTCTGTGCCATCAAGGTTTTTGGTAAAGATGCCTTTATTTATTTATTTATTTATTTATTTATTTATTTTTGAAGTAGGGTCTCACTATGTAGTTCAAGTTGACCTTGAACTCACTTTATAACCCAGGCTGTCCTGGAACTTTAAGCAATCCTCCTGCCTCAGCCTCCTGAGTGCTGGGATTACAGATATGCACCACTACGCCTGGCTCAAGCTGCCATTCTTTGAAAACTAAGGTGTATTACTTTTTAGAAATTAATTTACTCCAACTGAAAAAGCCTCTTTAGACTTCAATATAAGCTGCATTTTCTGAGTGTGCCTATTTCAGTATTACACAGATTTCTACCAGGCTATAGATACCTAACGCTTACTCTACAGGTTCTGATGCTAATACTTTAGTGTTCAACAAAATCAGTTTCATCTTTACCGTAATTATGTCCCTAAAAACTAGGTGACCTCAATTCATGTTTGGGCGAGGTTTCTGACAAAGTGATGTACTAATGTCACTGAAAAATAATTGGCAATTCATACAGTTTGTTAGATTTAAATGTGTGTGTCTCTGTGTGTTGTTGCTTTCTTTTTTCAAGGTGCTAGGCAGAAATTAAAAATACAGTGCAGCTTAATATTTATTGATGTATTTGCAGTTCTCAGTAAGTATGTATTTATCATTTGTGAAGTGCTCACTATGTTTCACCTAATAATGATTTTTATAATTCCTGCAGAATATATGGATTCTAGTTGGAATTGTGTTTGTTTGATAGATTTGTCAGTGTCCCTTACCTTGAGAGCTGCTATTTGGTGTTTAGTGTCTGTACACACATTACCGTACTTACCTGCAGAGGCAAACACAAGCACAACTATGACCAGGTCCACATAGGAGCAAGGTAGGATTTCACAACTATCGCCGTGCTACTAGTTATTGTAAAACACTATCAGTTATATAACACATTCTTACACAGTTGTTGAGGAGGAAAACAAAATTAAGAAATGTTTTTACCCGAAATGTATATTTTATTAAAAGCCTTTGGGGTAAAAAATGTCAAGTTACAGTTACATTCAATCCCTGCTTGTAGAGCATATTGTAAGGCAGGAAGTATTTTTGATAAGAAATGACTAAATTTTGTGATCATTGCAATTTTTCAGACTTTGATTTAGCCGCTCATAAAGAAACATACTTTTTCCTTCTCTAAATTTTATCATAAGTAAAAGGCCTGAATGTGTAAGCATGTAATTAAATAATTCCTCTTGAGTTGTAATTTTTATTTCATAAAGTTGCAGCATTTAAATAATACATTCGCGTTTATCAAGGACTGCTATTGCTTACAACTGATTGTACTCCATAAACTTATTAGTGAGCTAAAGATTAACAATGAAACAAGAAACACATGAATAAAACTTGAACATTTCATGTCTAAACAAAAAAAGTAAAGAAGTACTCCAAAACTCCCAAGTAAAACACTTTCAGTGGCAAAATTTGATGACAGTAATCGAAAATAATTTTAAAATTTGTGATAATCTATTCATCTGCTTGTAGTTCATACAGCTCATATTATATAAAGACTATCATATTCAACAGTAGAGCCCAAAATAAAATTTAGCCACCAAGAAATAATATATATGAATGTCTTGTATACAGGTATTAAGTATATTACACAAAAGCAGAAATACTCTTCACATGTAACACCCGCTTTACTTGAAAAATGCATAGCCTCATAATTGTGGCACCTCAATCATCCAGCAAAATAAAGCTGAAGAGAAAAAAATTATATTAATATGCTCAAAACTACCTAAAAATTTAGATGTTCTTTTTCTTCATTAAAACCATCTACACCAAAAACCAAACTAGTAAAGAAAAATCCATTAAATGTATTTAGTGTAAGAGAAATGAGTGTCTATCACTGTCATAACTGAAATTTTTGTACTTCTAAAATTTCGCATAAGCAAAGCCAGTTTCTATTAAGGTTGAATAGAGCTGCTATTGTTTCTACTTAATGAAGTTGTGTTAATACTGTATGATTGGAAAGTACCATTCTCATCCTTGCAGAGTTACTATGTGAGACACAATGAACCAAAGTTGCTGTGTGTAAAAGATGATCGTTTTGAGTCAGGTTAAAATTTGGAGTAAAGAAATAATAGAAATAGCTACTTCCTCCATCCAATAGAGATGTTTGGAGGATGAGAGGTGAAGGAGAAGGTGCCTATGTAGTAACTATTCTCACCTGCTATAAAGAGCCTTGATTGTTGGCATTTCTGCCTGAAGATGCTCATCCCCCAGGCATTGTTGCCCAAGCAAGTAGGTGATTGAAACTAACAGAGTCAATGTTCCCTTCTGGGGTCCTTGGACAAATAATTGCTCTTCTTGAAGCTTCTGGCTGCAGGGATTGCTTAGCCATACAAGATATAAATTACAGGTGTTCAGACTGCAATTCATTTCTGACTTCCGCAGACTCCACCTGGTAGCATCATTGCTCAGCTGTCTGTCTAGGATCCTTCAATTGTGCTTCAATTGATTGCTGAAACATCTGAACTCTGTATTCTTTGGGCACTATTTCATGATGTTTTTGACTGATAAGCTTTTGAATGTCCAGCCTTCTTTAAGGGTGTAGGAATCTTTTCTACAACCAACAATGTGTGGCTAAGTAATCTGCACATGTGAATTTCTGTTTTTTATTCAGTTGTGTGCCTTCTTTTCTCCCTATAGAACATTCATATGGTTCAAGTTACTTTTAATTTACTACCTTCTCATAGGAGAGTGTTGCACTGCCCAGGAAGGAATTAAAGCATTTACATCTTGAGGCAAGAATCTTTAAAAACAATTCTGTTGAAATGAAGTAAGTGTTCATTTCATTTGCAGGTTGAGAAATGCTGTAGTGCTCAATGAAGTTTTACATGATTGGTTTCTTTCCTATTATTTTTTGCCTTGGGGTTTGAGAAAGTAAATTATATCCACCAATATGCTGTTCTTTAGAGAAGTTTCAAACATTTTTAGTAAAACCTACATCTAGAAAACTGATCACACACACATACACACACAACAGCTACTGTAATGATCTAGTAAAAGCTTTAAATATACAGATACATTAACTTATTAAGTCACTGTATATCACTGGCTCCATTTTTAACAAAATTTAGTAAGAAAACGTCACTCAATGTAACTAGTTAGATTTAATAGAGCTTCTAGTTGCTATCCAGTCAAATCAAGAGCTGTTTGGAAAATTAGCCTGTGAATGGGCAGAGAAGGAGAAATTTAGCAAAATTCCTTTTTACTTATTACAACCATGGATGCTTTTAATACAGAAGTGTTTGCCATGAACTCCATAATCCAAGTAGCTATTTGGGAAGTTAGCTGTGTTTCTTGTACTTTAATCTAGAATATAAGCATGGTAATTTCCCATAACAAAAATAATAAAGTATGGTTTGCCATATTCCTTAGGAGAAAAGGCTATTTTTGTATATTTCATTGACAGTATTTTTGAAGTTGTCTTTGATACAATATGTACAACATTGAATCATAAATTTGGACTCATATTTGCCCCCTTTGTATCCATCCTACATGAAAAGTTTTTAAATATTTTCATTTGGGGAACTCATATCTTCTTTTTTTCCATCCTGCTGATCTTTACAATCTAGAAAAATAACAGATCATCTGCAAGTTGCTCAAATTAAAAACCTAGAAATCAGAAATGACGTTTCACATTCTTCCTTCCATTTTATCCAATTCTTCAGTGAATGTGACCTAAATTATAACCAAAATCTAATTACATCTCAACTCCCCAGGACCACTACAATTACCTAAACTAATGCAGCAACTTTTTCCAATCATATAATTTCTTCTTATATGTAGTAATAAACTCTCAGGCTTCTATAATTGTACATGAAGGCAAAGTTGTGGAAATAGTACAAAGAGAAAGTATTTTTAAAGATTGGCATTGAGTTGTACTGAGCATTAAGAGGAAAAGTATATTATGGCCATGTCATGCTTGCTTGTTCCACTTGCTCTGTTTTTATGTCTCACATTTCCTTGCTGAAGATTGTGTTGATGATTCATTCTACTATTCTACTTTTTGCTGGGAAGTTTTATGTGGTGAGAGTTTGCAATCACTTTTTCACATTTGGTTTTTTATCCATTTCCATAATTATTATGTGTAATGATATGTTAGCTGGAATTCTGTTTTCCTTTTAAATATAGACAACATTAGGTCAACCTCTAATCTGAATTTGTAGATATCAAAATTTCTTGCAAATGTCTGTGAAACT